GTTAAGAGGAGAAAAAATAATGAAAATGCAGTGTCAACAGAAGCTGATTTGTGGGCAAGTGCAACGTGTGGCACAGATGGCCCTGCTCTGAGGAGGCCGCAGTCCCACCGCCTCATTCCGAGGGTGAGGGGCAGGTACTCCTGAGCTCAGGCCTGTGGTAGAAGTTGTCCTTGATCATGTGACTAAAGCACGAGACCCAAGCACCTCCCCTAACCCAAGAAGTCCCCTGTGCCAGGACTCCAGAACAGGGAGTGAGCCCAGCCACGCTGGGGTAGATCACAGGCACTGGCCATGCTAGCGTGTGACTCAGGTAGCTCGGATTTCAAACTCCACACTGTAACTGACCATGACAGTATTGGCCGCCGCAGTTCCTTTTTCCCTATTGGAGAGAAAGCACAAATACCTCAGATTTGGCTTATTTGTGGGCTTAATTTCATCCTTGAAGTTTGAATGAAATCAGGGCATTTGAAGGTCACTTTTTGAGGTACACTCTTCCCTGATGCCCCATTCAGAAGGCACAGGATGTGTCTGGATAATAGTGCAGGACGCAGTTGCCAAATCTAGTTTGGGACTTGTGATGCACGACAAGAATGTAACAGAGATTTTTATTTTCATGTCGAGATTTCACATTTCTCAACCTACATTTTTTTAAAACCGTAAAGAAATATGCCAAAGTATTAACAGATGCTTTTGATGAGATTATGAATGATTCCCTTACCACCCCGTACTGAACCCTTCACTATGGAAACCTTTAAGCACACACAAAATGAGGGAATGATTTGGAAACCCTATAGCATCCCCTAGCTTCAACAATCAATTTATGGCCAGTCCCATTTCCAGTGTAACCTTTGAATTTCTGCCCTATCCCTGTTTTTTATTTTTTTTAAGATTTTATCTATTTATTTGACAGAGATCACAAGTAGACAGAGAGGCTGGCAGGGCTGGTGGGGCTCGGGGGAGAGAAGCAGGCTCCCCACTGAACAGAGAGCCCAATGTGGGTCTCGCTCGCTCCCAGGACCCTGGGATCATGACCTGAGCTGAAGGCAGTGGCCTAACCCACTGAGCCACGTAGGCACCCACCACCCTATCCCTGTTACTCTAAAGCCAATCTTGGACATGATAAAGAATCAGATGTGTTTTTAAATCAAAACATTGATTTAGAGGTTGGGAATTAAATTATTTTTTTTAAATAGGTATAGACCACTGTCAGCTTGTTTTCTTTTTAGTTCCCTCTACCCTTTAAAATTTTCAGGTCCTTCAAAGTCCCTCTTGTGGAAGATGTTTTCATAAAAACGTAGGATGGGCGGGTCCTATTGCACAGTAAATAATGTTAGTAAATAATAAAATATTTACATATTTAATTATACCTCACCTTATTCCAGAAAGGAGCAGGAGTTTGACATGCCGTAAAAGAAGAAAGAGAAATAAGGATGGGACAAAAGTGACCAGGAATACAAGTAAATGTATAGCATGATAACGAGAAACAAATATGACCATACCTTGGTTTTTAAAGATTGTTAAGGGAACTTTGTTAATTTTATAGCTCATAGTTTCTATGAGATGAAAATTGAGTAAACAAGGGACAATGAGATTAAAAGATAAAATATAGTAAAAGGAGGGGCACCTGGGTGGCTCAGTAGGTTAAAGCCTCTGCCTTCAGCTCAGGTCATGATCCCGGGGTCATGATCCTGGGGTCATGGGATCGAGCCCCGCATCGGGCTCTCTGCTCCACGGGGAGCCTGCTTCCTCCTCTCTCTCTCTGCCGGCCTCTCTGCCTACTTGTGATCTCTACCTGTCAAATAATTAAACCTTAAAAAAAATAGTAAAAGAAATTTCTGCCTGGGTTCTTGGTAAATAGAACCTATCACAAGGGTTTATCTTTCATCTAATGAGTTTTGCAAATGAATAAGGAAAGATGAACACCTCGCTAAGAATTGATAAGCAACTAACTGCAAACATGAATGCCGAACCTCACTAATAAAGCTCTGGAACAATGACTTGCCACGTTTCACCCATTAAAACGTTCTGCTGCTTAATCATAGTATCTTTTGTTGGTCAGGTTTGCCATATCTAGTTGCTTCAGATTTTCTGGTAGGCAGTTGGACAGTATGTATCAAAAGCTTTTAACACTGGATAAACTTTAATCTAGGGAGTCTACTTCTAGAAATGTAAGGAAATAACTAGACATTTGCAAATATTTATCTACACAATAATGTTCTTTTGAGTGTTGCTGACAAGAGAGAAATTAGAAATAATCCGGTGTCCAGCGTGCCGGTTTGATACGGGGTATCTGCAGTAGCTTGCAATCAGAAGAACAGGAGCAATTCCACATTTTTAAGAGGTTACAATTGCAACCTCTAGAATCCCTTCTGGGGTAACTTCCTTCCCATAGAACTATCGCTTATGAAAGAGAGTACAGCAAATCTCTCATCTCTGAGGGAGGGAAATTAGGAAACCATTGTTTCCTGTCTTCCTCACTACCATTTTCTTTCCTTTTTTTTTTTTTTTTTTGAAAGACAATATTTAAAGGAAAAATGAGCAAATCAAACTCGTAGGACCAAAAAATTTCCTCTTTCCTACAGAAAAATATAACCTAACAATGAAAAACACGTTTTTTTCCTTTCCAAAAAAAAATTGATAATAAATTCTAAATGAAGCCTAAAAATATTTACCTATGCCACCTATTATGAAAATTTTATCCCATAACGTAGTGTTCTGGTTGTATCTTCACTAGCAAAATGTTTAACTCCAAAAGCAGCAGTCATGTATGGTAAATCTGGCACCAACATCAAAAGAAAAAATTGTTTAAAAAAAAAGGTGCAAAAGCATTTTGATTTAAGTACAACATATCACAGAAAAGAATATGAATTCAAGTTTGTAATTTTATATATACACACTCCAAAGAGGCTGTCAGTACCCAAAGTATTTTATTGCTATATTAGCAATGGATTTTCGGATGTTTTTAAGGGCTACATAAAAATAGATTCAAGGAACATATTAAACTGAAGTCCTAGATCAAAATGTTTGGTTTAAAGAATTTTCTACAACAAATTTTATGTTTATGTAGGAAAAGTTATATAACCTTATATGAAAATGTCATTAAGCACTTTCTACACCATATTAAATGTATTCCCCCAGAGGGAAAAAAATAAAATAGCTAAAATATATTAGAGTAAGATTACAAAACCATCATAGAGTTTTTGAACATGCGTCTGTTTACAAAATTAACAGTCTACAAGATGTTTATTTCATTATGGACCATAAGGAAATGAGCTGGTGACAATTATCCTTTGCATAACATTATCAACTCACTTTAGCCACAAGTATATCCTTGGTAGGCGTGTAGAAGACGTATGTCCGCTTACCCCTCACCAAGTCATCCACAGGTTTATTTTGAAGATGAAGGTGCAGAAATATGTAAAGTGTATTTTTCTTTCTTTCAAACAACATCCCAAGCATGGCATAAACAGCCTAAAATTATAAAATACTTAACGGGTCTTTTAGTTTTCTACACAGATTGCTAAAATGTGAATTAAGTTGCCCAAATCAGTACATCAAGTAACAAAATCAGCCATGAAGCATTAAGGCTGAAAAGCATGAAATGTTTCATATGTGAGTTTTTAAATTATTTAATTTGTATAGAAAAATTTTATTCACAATATAGTGTGAGAGAAAACGCCACAGAAATGCTAGGCTGACGGCAAGAAGGTTGCGCGCAACAGCGGCTTTGCATTTTATAGCGATTTTTGTTTATAAAGACTAAGGCTCTGCAGCCACGATTCTCACGTGGCCTTCGATGTGGGTCAGGGACGGAACAGGAACGCCGCGTAGTGCAAAGCCATTTGCTCCTTCACTACCAAAAACGGTGCGAGACCGAGGAGTCCGGACATCTAAGCGGCGGCCACCACAACTCATTATTTCTCTTCACGAAGAAGAGAGACCCAGCCTTTGCCTAGCACAAAGAAAAACGTTTTCGCGTGAATACAGAAAATAACCCGCTGGGACAAAATGTACTTAAAAGTCTCAAATCCGTCCCCGCGTTCTGAGCTTGGCCCCCAGCAGGGCGGCCGAGGCAAGGGGTCGACCCCCTGCTGCGCCCTGGGCGCTCGCCGGCTGCGTCCCAGCCCCGCAGCTGCGCTGTTTCCTCCGCCGCGTCCCCGAGCCCCCGCGCTCGCGTCTGGCCAGAGGCCCGGCCCCCAGCGAGGCTCGCGGCTTGCGGTCCCGGGCCCGGAGGACTCCGCGCACAGCGGGCAAAGCGGGGGAAGCCCGCGTCGGGGGGCGTGGCGCCGGGCCGCAGCCCGAGAGCGGTCCGAGGACTGGGAGTAGGGCCTGTGCCGCTCGCCTGCCCTGCACCTGCCCCCATCGCTGCCCTGTCCCTCTCCCTGACCCTCCCCCTGTACCTGCCGCTGCCACGGTACCTGTCCCTGCACCCGCACAGGCGGGCCGGGACGCGGCTGCGGGCGAGAGACGGGAGCCGAGCGGGGTCGGGGAAGCCGGCGCTCAGTCCTCCAGGCGCGCCCGCCGCTGTCCGGCCCGGGGAAGCTGCGTCCTCCCGCGAGCTCCCTCCTGCGGCGGCCGCCCCGTGTCGTCAGCGCTCCCGCCAGCGCGCAGGCGCACGTCACAGGCGCGTCACTCCTCCACAGCTACTTTAGCGGAAAATCTGCTGCTTTCTGCAGGGTGTCAGGATGGCCGAGTGGTCTAAGGCGCCAGACTCAAGCTCCGCTTCCCCGCGCTGGGGATTCTGGTCTCCGAATGGAGGCGTGGGTTCGAATCCCACTTCTGACACATCATTTTTCTCCTCCTCCTAATTTCCTACACAACGAGACGGATCGGAGCGGCGGGGATAGAGGCCTTAGCGACCTACATTATTAAAAATTGACTTAAATTTTTCTTACAGGGGCTCTTAAAACACCGAAACTAGCGGAAGCGAAAATATCGCGATACGTTCTGAAAGCCGAGCGATCTGGCGCCGCCTTAAAGGAGAGCCGCGACCCTGAAGGATGGCATCGCGAGATGTCTGCAAAGCGCGAGACTTGGGGCCGGCGCCGGCGCCGGCTTGCGGCGCGCGGGAGGAGCGGCGTGATGGCGGGTCTCTCCTCGTGGGTTCCGGCGGCCGGCTCTGCCCGGGACCGCGTCCCCGGCCGGCACACCCCTGCGGCAGTTTCCCCCGCCGCAGTGCCCAGGAAGGCCTTCACGGTCCTCCGCGCTGGTCGGCGTTTGCAGGAACCGTGGAGCCCGACGCCCCTCCCCGCGGCAGCGTCCGGGTTCGTGTGCTCGGTCCACGCGGTCCCTTCTCACCGACCCGGAGGGGACGGCTGCCGCCCGCTCCGCCCCCGCTGGTTGTGTTCCGGCCCGGCAGTCTTCTCGCGGACGCCCGGCTGCGCCCGGGAGCGCCTTCTCCGGACAGACCGCGGGCCGCAGCCCGTCGCGCGGCGCCCCTGCGTCCCGCCCCGGCGGCGCCCTTGCCTCCCCGAGGGATGGGCCCGTGTGCGCCAGGGGCGGTGGCCCCGGGCTGCGGCGGGGACACCACCAAACAGGGTAAAAAAACTAGAATAAAGTAAATTCCTGTCCTTGTGTTACAATGAAAGGACCTCGGCTCTGCCTCCGGAGCGCAGGCCCGCGCTTCCTCGTCTCAGGGACCAGCGTCCGCCCCGAATCGGGGTTCAGCGCTGAAGGCCGCTCTGGAACACTCGGGTTTGGGTGCTAGAGCGCTTCTCGCCGTTGGTGTCGAGGGAGCAGCAGGCGCGCCGCAGCCCCCACCAGGGTTATGTGTGACATCCTCAGGGACTCGGCGGCCCTAAAGGAAGAACAGACAGCTGACTTGTAGAGAAGATGATCCTGCAAGGCCGGAGTCTCCCTCAGTTTGCAAAAGTCCTAGTGATTTACAAGGAAGGGGCTTTCTTACCAGTAGCCTAACTTCCAGAGACCCATGACTCAGTTCCTGAAGCCCTAACATCTTCTCCTCCCTAAAACTGAGGGGGTCCGAGGCAGAAAGAAATATAAATAAAACCGAATTTGTTTTAGAACTGCAGCCCCTTGATAAGGACGTGGGATAGGAGAAATGGAACATTCCTGCTCCCAACTGTCTTACAGTGACTGCCCGGCTACAGGGGAAAACCACCTTAACTTGAGAGTAGCAGGACCCGGGTATCCTGTGAGCCCTCCTTAGCACCTGACAGTGCTTTCCAAACCTCCCTTTTCCTCACCTCCCCCAGCCCATCGTAAGTAAGCAGCCACCGCACAACTGACGTCACCCCCCCAACTTCACCTGCATTCCATAAGCACAGCATCATCACCGCTCAGGACCCTACTCTCTCATTATCAATTTTACAGGAATCGTCAAAATGGGAGAGAGGGCGCGGGTGAAGAGACAACAACAGAATTCTCGGGAGACATTCGTCATGGACGAGATCCAACTGTCCCATCTGAAGGGCCCAGTTCTGAATTGAGACGGCTGGAACCAAGTGGTTTCACTACTACCAAGTAGGCTCACTCCCTGCGCTACTTAACTGTGCCCAGGGGAGATGTGCAATGAAACTTAAGACTGTAAGGACCTACTTAGCAAGAGGCTTTCATTAAAGTTAAACTGTCCCTGCTCCCCTTCCCCCAGAGGATTCACTCAAAAACAAGTCCTGGAAACCAGCTCCAGGTAACAAAGCCCAGATACAAGGGTGGGTCAGGCCAGGTGGAGACATCCGATCAGTCAGTCGTGGGAGGTGGGGGGGGGGATGCCTACTGTCTCCCTGGTTACCAAGGAGTATTGGCCCCTCCCTTTGGGAGTCTTTTGGGTGCCAATCCCAACCAAGGTGATAGGGTGGGTCAAATGTCTACTAGGGTAAATTGTAACTCAATTGGTCACCTAGCATCACTGAAGTTTCCTGTGTGTGTTACAATTTCATTGGTCACCTGTGCGTGGCCAGGCCCGACCGCATGGCCTTTGCCCTTAAAAGGTAGACTGAAACAGAGAAGGGTCGCCCTCTCTTGTAAGAGGTGGGTCCCCGAACATTCGGTTAGATTTTTGATGCTTGGCGCGAAATAAAGCTTTGCTTGACCTTTGCTTTGTATCAGTCTTGCTCCTTTAATCACAGACCCATTACTGGGGCATAACAAAGACAAGGGGAAACAAAACCAACTCTGACAAGGTTTCTATTATTATTAAACACCCATACAGCACATAGTACATCTTATGCATGTATGAACACTGTCCTCATAAAATCATTTTCAGAGGAGCCGATAAATGGATTTCTGAAGACCCTGGAAGAATCTGTAGCTTCTGATTCACTGGGTGAGTTACAAAAAGGCAGGAAGATAATGTGAGGGAGAGGAGATAGTAACTGTTTCACCTGGAAAATTCTAGAAGGAAAAAAATAAAGATGCTTCTGACTTTTCATATCTCTGGCATAATTGGATTTTAAAAGGTTAACTTTTTATATTTTTGAACTTTTAAAAATATTATTTATTTATTTATTTATTTGAGAGAGACAGAGAGAGAGAGAGACCATGAGAAGAGGGAGGGTCAGAGGGAGAAGCAGACTCCCTGCCAAGCAGGACTTGATCGCAGGACTCCAGGATCCTGACCTGAGCTGAAGGCAGTCGCTTAACCAACCAAGCCACCCAGGCACCCTAATTTTAGTTTTAAAACAAACACCAAAATATATGGTTACAGAATTTTGACAAAACTTTTTTTAAAAAGATTTTATTTATTTATTTGACAGAGAGATCACAAGTAGGCAGAGAGGCAGGCAGAGAGAGAGAGGAGGAAGCAGGCTCCCTGCCGAGCAGAGAGCTCGATGCGGGACTCAATCCCAGGACCCTGAGATCATGACCTGAGCCAAAAGCAGAGGCCCAACCCACTGAGAGGAACTTTCCCCTTTCTGTTTCACTCATAAATGCCTCTTGGAATTATTGGGAAGATACTTAACTGTCTTCACCCTCTTCTTTGTCCTCCCCATAGGAAGAAAAATCTGAGTGAGAGTAATAGCTTTTCCCTCTTGGGTTCACATTTTTGGGTGGCAGTAATATTCAGCTGTGGTCCAGTGGTCTCTTTAGCTCTTTGTATTGGTGGTTTAATAGAACACATGTGCCTTCACAGAGCTGCCGGGTGAGTGTGTCTACTGGGTTCCAGGTATAGACATGGGAAGAAGGAGTAAAGAAAGCCCATTTTAGTTTCAGATCCAAACAGTGTTCTTTGGTCTACATTTGCCAGCCACAGGTTGGTATTTTTTTTCTGTCATTGGTGTGTATACTCTTAGCTTCCAAGTTGTTAATAGACTGTGTTTAAAAAAATTACAAATTTATGATTCTCATATAAATGAAAATGAGTATGTGTCAAATAATGTAACAACCAGTAAGATGTTACAACTGGCTCAGAAGAAAATTCATGATGAATCACAGGCCTCTGCCTCTGAAACCAATAATACACTATATGCTAATTAATTGAATTTAAATTTAAAAATGTTTAAAAAAAGAAAAAAATCGAAGTGTTACATATTTATAGACAATCTGGAATGCTGAAGTAAATTTACAAATAGGTTTTTTTTAAACTGTCAATTTGCAGGGCGATGATCATTTGCATTCCACTGGACACAATTTCCCTTGCATTTCTGTGGATGAAAATCATTTGCACTGTTACCAGTTTCCTACAACTCAGAGTTCTGAGATAGCTCAAAATCAATGAAAATCACTGTTATGGACTGAATGGGTCCCTCCAAAATTCGTATGTTGAAACCCTGCCCCTAAAGTCATGGTATTAGGAAGATAATTAGGATTAAGATGTGAGGAAGGTAGAACCCTCCTAAATGGGATTAGGGTCATTGTCAAGAATCCTGAGAGATCCTGCTTCCTTACTGTGCTTTTCAGCTATGTGAGAACTAGCAATTAATATTTGCTCATGTTTTAGAGCCCAAGTGAGTCTAGAGAGGTTGTGGAACATGAGTTAGACAATCAAGTGATGGCTTTTCAAAGGTGTCAAACTGCAGAATTCTGCTATCATAGGCGTTGGGGGAAAGCACTGCTGCTGAGTAAAATTGTGAAGATCTCAATCTGGCTGCCTCCCAGTTGAGTTCTTTGACTATCAGACCGTTTAACCTCATGCCTTATTTCCAGGATCAAATGAGATAATGTGTGCACCGTGCACGCCTCTTCCCAGCACAGAGAAAGAGGTCTGCAGGTGCTCTGGGCAGTGCTGGTGGGAGAGCAAACTTAACTCTGGAGGGACGGTGCAGTGGTCGCCCCTGGATGGCCTGGAAGGCCTCTGAGCACAGTGAACGGAGACCCCCCGCGTCCTAGAGAGCCCTCCAGAGCGACTTTGGTTCCCCCGCCCGCTGCTCTAGGACGCGCCTCTTTAAGGTCCGCGGGAGCCGAACTTTACTTACGCTCCTGCGGCGCGCGCGGCCCAGGCCTCCGTGGGATCCCTGCTCAGTCCTCCGGCTGCGGCCGGCGGGGTCGGGGAGCCTGCGGGGACGCTGAGAGCCTGCAGCGGGGCGGCCTGAGGGGGCCTGGTTAGGCCCCTCGGCGTGCCCCTCGTCTCGGAACGGGGCCTCCCCGCGGCCCGGCGCACGCCCCCTCCTCCAGGCTGGCCGCCTGTGTTCCCGCGGGTTCGCGCGCGGTGCGGGCTCGGGGACGTTCACAGGAAGAGGCGCGAACTCGAGACCTCCCTGTCTCCGTTGTCGGAGCCTGGAGTCACCGGGAATGACCGAGCACTGCTGGTTTGCGCGCGCATCCTGATTGGCTGTGACAACAGGACGTTGGCGGGAGAGCGGGGACGGCCTCGGGGCCCCCAACCTGGCCACGGAACCCCGCGCTCGGTGGCTGTCCCCGCCGGAAGTCTGCGGCCCTGCAGCAGCGCCGCGCAGGGATTGGGGGGGCGGGAGCCCCGTCTGGCGCGCCCCGGACCAAACCAGTCTGCAACGGGCGGACCCGGCCTGAACTCCCACGGGCTCGCGCTCCGAGAGCAGGGACGGTCGCCCCCGGGTGGGGATGGAACGGGGTGGGGGACGTGAGGCCCCGGAAGCAGCACGACCCTGCGGTGCGCGGGTGCTCTCGCCGCCGGCCCGAGCCCCGTCCCACCTAAGCTCTGGAGAAGACGCCCCCTGACCTGCCCCGGGGAGCCCCCGGGGTTCTGTCCCGTCCGCGCCGCGGTTGTGCGGGGGCAGGAGCCCCAGGGAGGGCTTTTCTGAATCGCCCCGCAGGCCTCGCGTGCGTTTCCAGGGCGGCCAGCCCGGGTCCTGCTGGGCGTCGCGGCGCTTCGGAAGCCCTGAGGGCCGAATCCATGTAAACGGGACGTGTGGACGGGAGCTGCGGTGGAGGGAGGCGTGGAGGCGTTAGTAAGTGCCTCACGGGGTCGGCAGCCGACCGGCCGGAGGCGAGCAGCGAGCCGCGTGTGAGTCCCAGCGGAAGGGCCGCGAATTCGCCGGGAAGCAGGAAAGCGAGGGAGGGAGCGGCCGTGGAAACATCGCGTGGTCCCGCGCCGCCACGGGCCGTCGGTGCCTCTGCAAGTCCGCCCCAGGGAAGCCTGGAGTTCACACACTCTGCGGGGTTCTGTCCTCCTCTCCAGTGTGTGTCCTTGAGTACCGAGAAAGGCTGGCTTTATTGTGGAAAGCCTTCCCATACTCATTTACCTGACTACTATGGGACTCACGTCTAGAAGAACATTACTGCATCCCGCAGTGTCAGAAGCATGCGGTACTGGTCTGGGAGGACCGAAACCCCGACCACGGGGGACCGTTTTTTAAGTTACGCTCTTAAAAGAAAAACAAACAAACAAAAAAGTAACACATTTATTAAGCACAGTGTACTTGTTGATACAAGTGTTCCATTCTGTCTAAAACTATGAAGCGGTGTTCTGTTTCTCAAGGTTTCCCCGTCTAGGAGATGCAGTCTGTGTGCTCTCCACTTGCTTGGGAAATGGCCTTTCTTTACTTGCTACAGTGGAAACACATACACAAGAAGCTAAGGAGGGGCGCCTGGGGGGCTCCGGCGATAAGCCTTCGGATCAGGTCAGGATCCCAGGGTCCTGGGATCCAGCCCCACATCAGGCTCCCTGCTCGGCGGGAAGCCTGCTTCTCCCTCTCCCACTCCCCCGGCTTGTGTTCCCTCTCTGTCTCTCTGTCAAATAAATACATACAATCTTAAAAACAAACAAACATACCAAAAAACAGCTAAGGAATATGATTCTCCCTTCCAAAAAAGAATCAACTTTGAATTAAAAGGAAACTATAGAGCAAATCACAGCAAAATACTTGGTGTATTCGAGCAGTAAAGAAACTCTCTGCGCGAATATTCCCCGGGTCCTCCAGCCAGAGCATCGCTACCTTGTGACTACATTTGGAAACATATTTGGGGATATTTTTTGGTTGTTGCAATGAATGGGATGTGTTACTTATATTTTGTGGGTGGGGTCCAGAAATTCTAAACATGGCATAGTAAATAGCACATATTTTCATAGGTCGTACAGACAGTTGTGTAGAAGAGAGTATATTGCAGTGGAGTATAAAGAATTTTTCCATCCAACCTGCTAGTAATATTCCTTTTGGAAAACATTGAAGTAAAGCGTAGGGAGTATTTTCAACCCAGG